TTCTGCCTGCTGGTCCCTCACAGCGCTGCTGGACAATGTCCTTTGGATCGGCAGCCACCTGCTTCCACACCTAAACACACAGCGTGTCATTAGAACACCATTGATTATAGGTCCCCTGTCCTGCTTCTGTTAGCAGATGCTGATTTGTCCAGGTAAACTAGCAAAGCCTAGCAGCATTAGCCGTTAGCTAACAGGAGCTTATGTCACAACCTCCACAAACACTTACCGTGGAACTGTCACGCTGGCATTTAGTGGGGTGACCAGCTGTCTGCGTAACGCACTTACAGAATTCAACACCGCACACCTTAAATTAAACATGTTTCATTTCTATAAACACTTTTTTCAGTGAGGCTGAAAAAGCGTGACATTGATGAGAGTGACAGTGAAGGACGAGACCATTCAGTTGAAGCAAAGGGGTGGGGGTAGTAAAAACATCTTTCTGTCCGAATTAGTTTTCCAGCTGAGATTTAAATGGCTTGTTTATCTTTTTAAAACTATTAAAACGAATAGTGTTGTCATGTGCGCCTTTACGTTTGTGCTTGCTTTTTGTTTGTTTTGTTCAAACGGAAGCCACCCCCGCGTTGAAGCATTTGTTCAATGGTATGGCCCTTCCGGTTAGCGGACGCTGATCAATTGAATAAAACAATAATCTGATATCAGTTTAATGTTTCTTTTACGACGGACTATTTCGAGAATAAAGTCGTAACATTACGAGAATAAAGTCATAAAATTAAGAGAATAAAGTCATAAAATAAAAAATAAAAAATGTTATATTTTATGACAACTCTTACAAGAAGCACTTTCTTCCCTAAAATGAGAAAAGTCTTTATGTGAAGTTATACTTTTGCTCTGGTTTGGCAAAGAAGGAAATCTTTATTCTTTATTCTCGCTGTCACAGTCTTGGTTCTGTTTAATTTTTTATGTTATTTATTTATTTATTTGAGTTTTCAGTTTCACTTTGATCCATGTTTTTCTTTGTTTTCTAGTTTGTTTTCTAGCCGTCAGGAATTTGGGGCCCAATGAAAGACATTGATGTTGGGCCCTCAACTTTTATGCTGGCCCTGAGAGTTTATTTTTCATTAATCTGTGTGTGTAATGACGGAACATGTATTTTTTATGTGGCAGCTTCAGGCGGCTCATGAGAATGATCAAGATTTATAGATGTCTTTTAATTGTTGTAATTTAGTCTGAATATAAAAATCGAACTATACTGTTTTAATATTGACACTGATTTTATTTAATGTAAATATCATGTTAAACATCTACTAGCATTAAGCTGATGTTTAACCTCTGATAACTATGGTGTTTTCCTGTTGCCTGGTCTGGTTGGTAAAGGTAAATTCTCAGCTCTGGGAGATTTCTGGCTGAGTTTTTTTGGCCTTTTTGGCCTATTGGGGAGTTCTTAGGTTTTGTTGGTTGCCCTCTGTTGCCCTCTTGTGTTGGTCTTCTTTTCCCTAGCTGAGCTAGGGATATATCTATAAATTATCTATAAATTATGACATCATACCAGAGCTCATTTCTTTCAAATAATTTTAACAAAGTGCCAATGAATGCAAAATTAGATAATATATTTCTTTAAATTCCCATGATTGTGACATACAGTTTTAAATAGGAAAACTGACAGCCATGTACTATTCGGCATGGGTTCTTAATAGGCCCCGTTTACATTAATTATGGCATTGAGAAAATCAGCATTAATTCAGGAGCATAGCTTTGCTGTAATTTGACCAGACTACTGTATATTACTGCAGTATCTTGCTGGCTTTATTTAATTCCGGGGTAATCTAGACTTGTTGAATCGTTGTGCTTCTTGTTTGTAAAAAAATGTCCTTTTCATTGTGACACTCAGATTTACTCAGATTACTTGTTTTATTTTTCTGTAAAGCTTTTACTGCTTCTAGCAAATATGTCCACATTTTCCCTGCAGTTTCCCTGCAAAATGAGCTTTAAGTAGTGATGGTGAGATGAAGCCTCGTGAGGCATTGAACCATTTGGCCAAATTGCTTCAACGATCCCCACAGTTCATGTAGCTTCATTTGAAAATGTCACCACCTACTGGTGGAATCCAGAACTACAGTTAGTAATAAAATCTGTGATTTTTTTTTGCATTTTTTTCTTGTTTTTCTTACCATTTAAGTTCATTTGAAATTGTTAATTATTGGTGTATATTATAATTTTTTTTCTGTGTGTAAAATGTCTTAGAAGAGAACAATGATTTTAGGTACACTGTTTTTCTGCCATTTTGGTGAAATAAGCTTAAGCAGACAGGGAAGATGCTTGTGCAAATTGGGCAATGATGAGCATAATGAGAGGTGTTAGTCATTTGTATTCAAACATAATAGTTTTTCCTCAGTTGTCGGTTTTAATTGAGTTGGAAGTTATATGTTCAACCAATCTTTTGGCTAAACAGCCAATCTAATTTGGCAGTGTTTTTACCCACTCTATTTTTTCACTAGGGCAAACCAATACAAATTAGTCACATTAGCCAAAAAATTGAAGTATAATCGCAACTTTCAAAAGTCAAAGGTGGGTCTTGAACCATTAACCTCAGGGATAAAGGACAATGTCTTACAGCTGACGCCACCAACATTAAAAACTCACAGCAACAGTACTTAAGACTAAGGTTACAACTGTGCCCAGCGGCTTGCTAAGATTTTGATCATTACATTGTTTAAACTAACTCAAATATTTTTAACCAACTAGATCGGTTGGAAAAACAACCAATCTGTTGTTTGTATACATCCAAACATTATCCAACTGATAGCAACTCTCATGCAAACTCCCACATCCTGACTGAGTAGTGAGGCTGTTTAAATGCCTGTCAAAGTTCTTGCGCTTTCTGAACCACTTCCTGAAGCGGTCACGCGGGTCACTGTAGCAAGGCTTCGGCAGAGGCTTAGCCAAAGAATCTTTATAAGGGTGGCCATTGTGCGCTGAGAGGTGGCCGAAAGTGGATAGACGCCAAAACCCAAGGGTCAATCTATACTGTTCAACGGGAAAATTAAGGAGCAAAACATCCATATTTTCTAAATAAAGACTACCTATACTTTCCAAAAGCTTTTGCTAACATATAGATGCATATATTTAAAAATCCATGCTTCCTAGATAAATGGTATGGAGCATAGAATTCTTTCAGGTGTAAGTTCTGGGGTGAATATCTTTTCCATTGTTATTACTTACCTACTTTTATCAATAAAGCAAATGTCTCCACTGTAAGATCAATAAAGTCATACATTGATTGTTTAATAAGTTTTCATTAAAATATTTATTTATTTATAATTTAACCAAAGACTCCTAGCTGACTTGCATTTTCTCTTGTATATATATATATATATATATATATATATATATATATATATATATATATATATATATATATATATATATATATATATATATATATAAAAAACACAAAGTCTAGTTCTGAGAAGAGCCTGAATACTGTACCTATCATCTTTAATGTTAGCATATTGATGTGCATAATGAACCACAGTGTTTTTGTTGTCAAGTAACTGTTAATAAATGAAAAATTTAAATGTTTTGAACATTCCCTTTGAGAGTATTACTACTGCCTTCATCTGTATCAGAAGGAAGAAAATGGTAGGGGTGGCCACAGGGGTGGCCAATGATTTGCTACGGGTGGCCATGGCCACCCCTGGCACCCCATCTAGCTCTACCCCTGAGTTCCGGACGTCATCAATTTTGGCTCCTCTCCTAAATGAATCACGCCATCTCATAACATCACTAACTTTAAGTGCTTGTGTTTGACAGAATGTGAAAGACATTTATGATCAGTAGTTAATTGAGAAAGCAATTAGTAATTCCCTTTATGTCCTTTTATCACCCTGTATAAAATGTTCTTCTGTTTCTCTAAAACTGTTTATAATCATAGGATCCAAAGGTTTTAGTGGGGCACAGTGACTGAAAGGAACTGGATTACATCCTTCATCTTTATTCAAGTCATGATACAACTACTATAGTACATCTAATTTACACAGGTCTATATGTACAACAGCAAATACAATAATGGTAGACTCAGAGACATGTTGATACTAGCCAGACATACACAGTCTCTCTCCCACACACAAACACAAGCTCACACACATAGGTCAGTTATACCAAATAAAGATAATGCTCCCCAAAAACATCTTGACACGTTGTCAGAAATGCACAAACTTTTGCAAATCAGTTTTTCATCAGAGTGTGAAATGAGAGCGTCAAAATGAAAACATCCAATCTTACAGTTTTGCATTGTTCTATCACACTTTCTTTAGAAAAAGACAACAACAAAAAAAGACAATTCCTTACATTTTTTCATGGCAAGATGTGACGGATAAAGACCCTGCAACTACAAAAACGACACAGATACACAGCTCTACAAACGGGCGACAAACAGAACATCTCATCAGAGTCACATTACTGGGTGCTGGTTGGATATGCATCAGCTGGGAAAACTTAAGAGGGTTAAAATCAGTCACTGCTAGAAAATTAAATTAGATGTTTTTACCTAAAAGAGAACAAACAGGAAGAACCAACTATAGACACCACAGAACTGATCTGTTTAAACATGGGGGAATGATGACTGTAATATGTTATATTGCTGCTGCAGCTTAGAAGTGAGTCTCATCCATTTCAAGTTAGTAATAAAAGTCCTCTCTCTTACATTAAGGGGGAAAAAAACCAAAGCATAACGTGAACTAAATAATAATTTTTAATATTTTTAGACCAGATGTGTGTGAATGGAGATTGGGATGATGGAGGATGACACAGACTAGACTGATGTGATGTGACAGAGACGTTGGGCAGCCTGAGGAGTGTCCTCATATAAGAGAAAACAAAGGTCGATGTAGGCCACCATACAGGTTTTAACTCCTTTAAACAATCTAACCTCATTGATACAAATCACACAAAATAGCGCCTTAATCTTTCCCCAAAAAGTGCCCCCCCTCCCATTTTGCTGTTTGTGCCTGGAGGCCGGAAACATCGCAAACTTTGGCTGTTCAGGAGAGGATTTTCTCCCTGGTTTCAGGCAGCTTTAGAGCTACCAGGCCTCCACAGACCAGGGCGGCGAAGGCCAGGAAGATGGGAATAATTTTGGTGATGCCGATGAAGGCGGCAAAGATGAAGCTGGCAATGATGGCTGCAAACTTACAGATCCCATTCAGGATACCAAACGCTGTCCCTCTGTAAAAAAACAAACAAATAAACATAAAAGATGTAGATTCAAAACTCGAGAGCTGCTCTGTTCCTCAAACTCTGAGGTTGGGGGTTGGGTCTTTAGCTATTGATAAACATATATACATTTTTTGAACAATAAGAATCTGAAGGGTAAGAAATGCTTCGGTGTCCACAATAAATCAATACTTTTGCACAACCTCCTTCTGCAATATTTTTACCTGCAAGTCTTTTAAGATATTTTTTTTTCCAACCCAGACTTTGATTTGGCCATTATAAAAGATGAATATGTTTTCATTAGAACTGTTCCAAAGCAACTCTGGCTACAAAGATTAACATTGTTGTCCTGCTAACAGGTAAACTTCCAACCAAATTGGCAAAATGTTCCAGCCTCAAGCAGGTTTTTCTTCCAGGATGGCCTTATATTCAGCTTCAGGGGGTGTAGGCATCTTTACAGGGTCAGGGTCGAGCATGTGCATTTTTATTTTAAAGGCGACAGGGCGACAGGTCCGCTAGAATTCTGTGACAGTGGAGGACTACAGAGAAGGGGTGCACAAACACCAGCAGATGATGTGGTCGCCAAACCATCACTGACTGTGGAAAAGTCACACCTCTGTTTTTTTTTGTTTCTGGGATATACTAACACAAAGCAAGAGACTAGAGTGTAAAAGAGAAGAAAATATTTGCTTGGTTTGCTTTTATTTATCATAAGACCCTTTTTTATATATATCAAGATTTTTTAAAATATATATACACTGCCTGGCCAAAAAAAAAGTCGCCACCAAAAAAAAAGGTCACTCACTCTAATACTTTGTTGGACCGCCTTTAGCTTTGATTACGGCACACATTTGCTGTGGCATTGTTTCGATAAGCCTCTGCAATGTCAAAAGATTTATTTCCATCCAGTGTTGCATTAATTTTTCACCAAGATCTTGCATTGATGATGGTAGAGTCTGACCGCTGCGCAAAGCCCTCTCTAGCACATCCCAAATATTCTCAATGGGGTTGAGGTCTGGACTCTGCGGTGGCCAATCCATGTGTGAAAATGATGTGTCATGCTCCCTGAACCAGTCTTTCACAATCTGAACCCGATGAATCCTGGCATTGTCATCTTGGAATATGCCTGTGCCATCAGGGAAGAAAAAGTCCATTGATGGAATAACCTGGTCATTCAGTATATTCAGGTAGTCAGTTGACCTCATTCTTTGAGCACATACTGTTGCTGAAACTAGACCTGACCAACTGCAGCAACCCCAGATCATAACACCGCCCCACAGGCTTGTACAGTAGGCACTAGGCATGGTGGGTGCATCACTTCACCTGCCTCTCTTCTTACCCTGATTGGCCCATCACTCTGGAACAGGGTAAATCTGGACTCATCAGACCACATGACCTTCTTCCATTGCTCCACAGTCCAATCTTTATGCTCCCTAGCAAATTGAAGCCTTTTTTTCCGGTTAGCCTCACTGATTAGTGGTTTTCTTACGGCTACACAGCTGTTCAGTCCCAATCCCTTGAGTTCCCTTCGCATGGTGCGTGTGGAAATGCTCTTACTTTCAGTATTAAACATAGCCCTTAGTTCTACTGTTGTTTTTCTTCGATTTGATCTCACCAGACGTTTAAGTGATTGTCGATCACGATCTTTCAGGATTTTTTTCCGGCCACATTTCTTCCTTGAAGATGATGGGTCCCCACTATCCTTCCAGTTTTTAATAATGCGTTGGACAGTTCTTAACCCAATGTTAGTAGTTTCTGCAATCTCTTTAGATGTTTTTTCTACTTGAAGCATGCCAATGATTTGACCCTTCTCAAACAGATTAACATCTTTTCCACGACCATGGGATGTGTCTTTCGACATGGTTGTTTAGGAAATGAGAAGCAAGTCATTGCACCAGTTGGGGTTAAATAACTTTTTGCCAGCTGAAAGATAATCGCCGATGCAGTAATTATCTAATAGGAGGCTCGTACCTATTTGCTTAGTTGAATCCAGGTGGCCACTTTTTTTTGGGCCAGGCAGTGTGTATATATATTACGATTTAAGTTTCTAAATGTGCAAAACTACACAGAAAAAATATGGATTGCAATATGAGCCTCTAGGAGCCAATTTACCAGAACCTCGCAAACTGCGCATGTGCAAACGAGGGAGTTCTTCTTGCAGATTGACGAGTCCAACCATTGGCATCTCTCGGCGCCGACGTGTGGTTTTGTTGAAGTACAGTGTGAGCAGTAAGTTGGCATCATTGGGCAGTACAGTGTGTTAACATGCATCGCGAGCTGTGAACTATTAAACCCTTTCATCGTACAGTTTAAGCTGTAACTGCGTACTACGATTGGAAACATCGTACAGTGTATGCCCGGCTTTATTTAGAAAAAGCAAAGAAACTTTTTCCACAAAGAAATGTTTTGTACATTTCAATCAATAAAGTATAATTTGATTTTACTTACTAAGAAGAGTTGATTTAACAAACTCAAATAACTTTAACTTCGAAATTTATGTTATGAACAAAAGATGTTATTTCGCTAGTTATACACAGAGGTATGGAGACATTACATCCCGCACACACAAGGAGAACCTAGGATAGCCATTTAACCTAACAGTCCTGTTTTGGACTTTGGGAGGAAGCCAAAGTACCCAGAGACAACTCATATATGCATTGGGATAAATGCATATATGAGTGGGATAAAATTCAAACTCAGAAAGACCCTGGGCCAGGAATCGAACCAAGAACCTTCTTGCTGCATGCAACAATATTTTCTATTAGACCTAAACATGGTTAGGCAATGAAAACGCACCAAGTTTACTCCTAATATCAAAGTACATATTACTTCCATCTGTTAAGTTGGGAACTTATTCAAATTTTATGTTAATAGTATTTGGTAAGATTAATTAAATCGACATGTCTTTTGGTGGATATAGATTTAAGAATTATTTCTAAGAAAAAACATTAAATAAAATGTTTAATTTTTAAGTAAAGGCAGTTACATGAAAATTTGCAGTAAGAGGTCTGAATACAACTGCTCACTACTTTTTCAGATTTATATTTAGAGTATGCTTGTTGTTATAACCTCACAAAATGTGAAAATACTTCACAAAGTTAAACCAAATCTTTGATTGATTTTCTGCTACTGCTTGATAAGTTACGAAAGATGGTCGCTAGATATTTTTTAATCCCTCAGTGCCATGTAGGGTGCTTTAATATATGAATAAATCCACTTTTAACATGAGTGTAAAACCTTTTTAGGTAATAGTGACGATACCTTTGCATTTGTTAAAGAGCCACAGTTGGACGGTACCTTTTAGAGGAGGGGTAAAGCTCCACAGAGATGACTTCCAGCCCGTTCCAGGCTGCCACACTGACAGCATAGAAAAGACACTGCCAACAGATTACAGCTCCTTGACTAAAGCTTAAGAGCAGCAGGAAGGTACAGGCCGACGACGCCAGCATAGAACCACCTGAAAAGAAAGAGGTGAATGATAACTGAGCTAATCTAACTAATTTTCTGCATTGAATGCCATAAACACGCTAATCTGTCAAAAAAACCCGAGTGTTTGTGACCAAATATCTCACCTATTATTCGAATCCTTCCTATCTTGTCCATGAAAAGTGCTGAGATGATGTTTCCAGGAAGCACAGCCAGACTTCCCAGGAAGCTGACCAGATAGATCACTATGTCGTTTTCCTCCTGGAAGTTTAAATGACAGCCTTTCTTTGGATGGAGGAATGTGGTGTTTTCCATTTGACAGTTTTTGAATTTTTCCTGCCACAAGTCTGGAGAGAAAACACAAAAAGATAAAAAATAGTTTCTTTTGGCCAACAGAACGCAGCGTCAGGCAGTGGCGGCACCTGTGTTGTAGAAGACGGTGTTTTTGATGGTGCAGTTCTCGAAGAATGTGTTGGTTGATTTGATGTCCTCAAAGTAGCAGTTCTCAAAGAGTGAATTCTCAAACTTCACCGATTTAATCTCGATGTTTGCAAATCTTAAAAAAAAGTGGGAAAAATACTAAAACTGAATAAAAAACTTTAAATCCTAACTTTTTGTTGGCTAGAATAGAGATTAACTCACTTGTCATGGATGTACTCTCCCTCGCGGTGGACTTGGTTGACCAGGGAGAAATTAAAGTGGAAGCGCTCCACGCGTTCTCGGTGAAACACTCTGACCTTGGACTGGTACTCCTCATACTGCATGTACTTTATCATATCAGGGAACCACACCCCCAGTCCATGGTAGCTAACGCACACAAGAAAGAAACAAAACAAAAGCAACTGAATTAAAAAACATCAGTGACTCCTCCACCTGACTTATTCAATTCATGCCAATGAAATGAAGTAATACAATGGTTTTTAAAAGCTACATTTATTTTGCATATTCTTGTCAAATCCTTCCAACAGTTAGAAGCTCCCTTAAAGTCTTGGGAAGTGGCTGTTCCAACTGCTGCATTTCTGAATTCTCCCGAGTGGTGCATGACTTTACACGAGTGAATGAAGTGAATGTGATTGGTCGTTTATTAAGAGGGCGGAATTGTTGTGGTAGATGGTTCCCAAGCACGTTTGATTGTGGCCGGTTTGTCTGAACCATCGCTGCTAACCAGTTAGCAACTTAGTGCTAGTAGGTTCCCAATGGGAAATTCCATTGGGACCAAGTAGCACTAAATTGGTGACTTAGCAGCAACACTGTCAAGGAACGCTTGATGGCCAGTGGAAACATGCAAGAGGAGGAGAGTTTAGTGTCGTAGGTTGTGGATGAGTCTCCTCCATCATACATTTTTTATTTAGAGGAGCAAAGTGGGGACAAAGATGTTGTGGAAGAGGACGCCAGGGCGGCAGAAGTTTGGTTTGGTGTAGAAGGCTTACAGCTGTACATGTTTGAGCCCTTGCCTTGTAACGCTGCCAGTTCTGTTAGCTCTACGCCTGCTGAAGATACAGACGTCCATCCCCTTGAACACTGGGACAGAACTCAATTTTTTTAATATGTCATATTAAATTAAGCGCTCACAGGGTTCATACAGGAATGAGTGACTCTAATTTAATGCTATTTTAATGCTATTAGAAATGATTTTAATGCCATCAACAAGAACCATGTACACAAGTTATTAGTGTACATGAAATATGAAGGAGCTGCAAGCAGAGTTCCATGACTCCTGTATGTATGTAAACACACACACATACACACACACACACACATATATACGTATATATATATCCTCTAGCTTTTTCTCCGCCTGGAGCGATATAATATATCTGACGAAATTGTTTTTATAAGCATTTTTTATTAAAGAATTATAAATACTTCGATAAACATATTTAAATAATTTTAGTGCCAATTAAGGCCTTGATAAAAAAAAAAAAAGAATGATTTTTTAATTATTTTTATTGATCCGCGGACACCCTGGTTCATCTCGCGCATGCTCTGTACGATCTCCAAGAAACTCAGAGCGGAGCGGCTGGATCCACAGTGGAGGATGGATGCTTTGCTTTGTGCAGGCGGTCTGGAGCGAAGTATGTGGGATTTCGGAGTAAAACTCCTCTTGGACGCGATGGCGACTCTGCATCGAACAAGACGAACTCAAAGAAGAGATGCTAGCGGTAAATATATGTTCGATTACTGCCTGCTAAGCTAAAAGCGGCCTAGCCTGAGCTACGGCTAATAGCGGCTAATAGTAGCCTTGCAAGAACAAGCTTTATTAAAGTGTATTTTTTGTGATTCACAGAAAGCAGTACGCCGTCTTAACAACTCGGAGACTAATTGCAGGCGCTATGAACCGGAGCAAGGGTAAGATTTAAAGAATATGCTTTCATTCTGCGGTAAAAGGCAATGGATACGGATGGATACCGATCATAGCTGTACATTTTGTTTTCACAGGCCTCCTATTTGCTCGGAGTCATATCAGCAAGTCCAGATTTTCACGATGTTGATGAAGACGACATTGTGTGTAAGTGACTTGTTTTAATGTTTTCTCCTTCCTTGTTACTGTGACTTGCGTTTGATTTTTTATTTATATCACTCTCATCTAATTGTTTTCCAGCTGCCTGTAAGACGTATTTTCAGACGGTACGCAGGAGCTTCAGATATACGCAGCCAGCCAGCACGCTGCGTGCGGAGGCTATCTGCTCGGAGTCGGGCCAGAAGAAAGAGGGTAAGACTTTATTTGGTGACTATTTTTCAGGTGCATTGATAGATGTGTTGTGTCCATACGCAGTGCGCTGATTCATTGTTGTTTTTTTTCAGCTGCTGAAAGCGAGGCAGAGTGTGCTAGCAGATGAGGAAGTGGAACTCTGGAAGTCCGCCTTCCTCGGCGGTGTCTCTGGATGGATTGTACGGTCGCCGCCATTTCGTAGGCCGGATCCCTCTGAACTCTGTGTTAAGCTGCAGTCCCGGTTAGAAGCGATGCCGAAGTACAGGGCCACGCACAGTAGGCGTCTGCACATCGGACCTGCCTCGGAGGGAATGCTGCCAGTTACCTCCAACCCCGAGGAAGCAAACGGACCGTTCACGGAGTTTTAATTTTTAGAAACGCATGTGTTTGGATATGCGTTGTATATAGTTGTGTGTGTTTTAATAAAGCTCTTTCTTTGCATAAACAGCTTCCTGGCAAATCTTCATTTCCTGTATAAATTCATTCATGTCCTTGATGGTAGCATAATAATTGTGTAGTAGTGTAGGATAACATAAATACACACCATATGAATGAATAAATATATGAATGAATAAATAAATAAATATATATATATATATATGAATAAATATATATGTGTAAATTTATATGTAAATATATATATATGCCAACCAATCACGAGCGACTTTACTTGTTTAAAAAGAAGTGGTTCCATCCAATACTCAGTAAGAAAATTAAAGCCTGGCGTGGCCACGTGTGGTTTTGCTGCCAATCACGAGCGATTTCACTTGTTTGAGAACAGTGGTTTCAGCCAATACTGAGTAGGTTATTCAAGCCAGACCTGGCCAGCCGCGCGGGTTTGCTGCATTCATATGCTAATTAGGGCCATTAGTACAGCTGATCGCTCTCCACATACGTCATGGTACGTTTCCGACAATTTGTGGCACGACAAACGCGGACAAGCACGGGTTGCAAATTGTCGGAAACTGACGAAAATCAGGGAGATCTGCGGGAGTTTACAGGGGTTTACGGGGACGAAAATCTCACTTTTCATGCAGTGACAGTTCCTTGCACCCTATTGGCGGTCCACGATACTACAGCTCTCAATTACGCACACAAAATTGGCGTCACCCATAACATTCAGGAACTCATGTGCCTAGATAGCGTCCTCCGCCCAAATTTCAATGAGAGCCTCGGTCATCATCCCTGGTCCCTTCACGCTCATTTAATGCCATTTATTGTTAATAGGCTGAGAAGAAGTTGGTTTTGTGAACAGATGACGAGATCTGTGAATTTCAAAGCAGAACACGCTGGTAAACCTGCAAAATGAGTCAGCTGACTGTAAATAGGAGATGACGCGGTCTGCTCATGCTCTCTTTGTTATCAGAGATTCGAGGCACAGATGAACCGTGCTCAGCCATACTGTTGAACTAGTACTAGATTTTAGCACGGTTCAGTTGTGTCTGGCACGATCTAGTTCAGTTGTGTTCCGTTTACACTCAGCAGCTATCTCAGTTACCGCGGTCCGACCGTTCTCGTTGGGGTTTCAAAATGGTAGTTTAAAGGAGGCTTTTTTGCCGTCTTTTTTTTGTTTGTTTGAAAAAAAGCGAGTTTTGATCAGGATAAGAATTTATTAACACAATAACATGTTGAATTTAGTAATGAAACAATATTAATATTAAGATAGAAAGAAATTTTTGGTTATAAAACTTTCTTCCATCAGGCTTTAACCTGTTAAATAAATCCCATCAGTCTGGAAATGATTAATTCTTGCGTTGAATCCATGAAATCTATATCACAGATGATCATATCATGAGATCCTCAGACGGTCCATTTCTATATTCAACACAGATTTCATTCTACCTGAAAGCCATGCAGAACCACACAATGACCAGGAAAAGGCCTTGCAGCCTGAGCTCCGGAGCAGATAAAGACATCACATTGGCCATCACCTTCAGGAAAGACACACAGTATTAGAGTATTAGACATCATTTTCACCTGTAAAGCAACATGTCGGGATAAAATAAATCACAAAGCAAAGGTTTCAGTTTATTTAGATGTATTATTCTATAGGGGGAAAAAAAGGATTTTGAAACCTGCTGCAGCATGGTCGTTTTTCGGACTGTCCAGCGCTGGAAGGCAGTTCCAGTGTCACTCTGGATCTCTATGAACTCGTCCTCCTGGGTTTGTGGAGTCTTAATGTTTGTAATCTGCACAGAAGGATAGAGAGAGAAAGCAGCTGTTTTAATTTTGTTACTGAAAAGAATCCAAAACATTTAAAAAATAGTAATAAAATTAAAAATTTCCATGTACCAGTGTGGCCCATGGTGTCTGAAACCCTACTGTGCCCACACCAAAGAAAAAAACAGGGCATCTTTTTTCCTGGACAGTATCATAAAATCATCTTTTTCTTGTTGTTCTCCAACTTCATTCATGAAAAATTAATTGTTTTACTGTCTCCCATCTTCTCAGAACAAAAACATAAACCTCTATGTATTTCTTTGACGTTTTAAGCTGGGCATACACTGTGCAATGTTTTTCAATCGTTGCACGCAGCTACAGTTCAATCTGTACGACGAAACCGCAGGGTGAGTTAAAAGCTCACAATGCACGTTTGGCCTGACGCTCTGATACGATCTACCTGCTCACACTGTACATCTGAAAACCACGTCGGCCTCAGCTCTACAGTGAGATGGCGCTACTCTGACTCGTCTATCCGAAGCCAAAGGAGCAGAAGAGGAACATGAAGCTCACTAGAGTGAAACGCGCTGCCTTGGCTATTTGGGCAATTTTTGTGCTGAAAGCCCTAAAAAGAAAATGAGACGACATATTTGGACAAAGACATGGCTGAGCAAACGTGGCTACTACACTCTGTCAATTTTACAGAAAGAACTTACATCCCTGCCATACTTCTGTGTCTTCGTCTTAGAGGAAGAAGAAGAAGAAGAAGATTCCTTGTTTGCTCTCTGAGCGATTTGCCCACGACGGTCGTCCTCCCAATTCATGGTCACGAGAAGCTGATTCCCCCTCTGTACCCTCTGTACACTACACATCGCACAATCAGGCTGAAAGTCGGGCCGATCGAAAAATTCTTGCACCACTGGATAATTGGCCCGAAAAGGGCAAAAAAGTCGCTTAGTGTAAGCCCAGCTTAATGTGATATTCACATTGGTAAAAAAGCTCACAGAGTAGCCCAGCTGCTACTCTGAATGGGAACCAATAATAGTGAAGACTTAAAAGACCAATCATAAAGATAAAACAATCTCCTTGGTTTTATTATGGTTTTATTTAGCAGTGACATGCTTCGGCCAGCCGTCAGTGTTGGTTTGAATGAAGGCTTACCGTGAAGACCCTCTCTGGCTCCCCCTTGGCTTTCCAGTTGGTGTCATGAACCTGCCTCAGGATCATCCATGCCTCGTCATGTCTTGCATTCTGGAATCCATAAACATATAGACTCAAAATATTTAAGTCTATCTTTAGGTTTCATGGTCAGAATTTAAAAAACAGATATTGTGTGGCCTATGAGCAGTTTTTATTGCAAACACATCCCTCTGGGCAGTACTGTTTTCGTCAACGATGGCGAAATTATTTCATTGATGCTCCTTTTTTTCATGGCAATAATGAGAACTGACAAGTTAAACATGGATCTTTGATGAGTAAAACATGGCTAGTCATAGGTTTGGGTTTTCGTCAATGAGAGGAGACTAAATAAAAATTAGCGGGTGTTTGATCAGACGTTTAAAATGCATCACTGTGGTGTAATCTTTTAGACAATTTATGTAGAATCAGCAGTGCTGCTGCATCCTGTTTGATCCTGTCGCCCACCTAGCATGCAGCGGTGCAGATTCTGCATGACCACAGATGAATAATGGCAGCAGCGGCAGGGGAGAAAATAACCCGGAATATTCCGGTACTGCACGCTGAACTCTGCTCTTCCAGCTGGGCTTGTGCCAAAATGCATCTTTGAGTGGCTTAGCTTAGTCTGTGCTTTACTATCCACTCTGATAGTTCGCTCTCAGCAGTATGGCTCTTCCTGCTCACGCTACTTAATAAACTATGTGGCTGATCATCTTCTGCCAAGCATAAAAAAATCCCTTTACTATCAAGATTTTATTTCTTCAAGCTCACAAGAGGTGATCCTAAACATTCTTTAATTTCAGCCAAAAAGAATCCCTAAATTATATCCAAAGAAACTATTTCATTTTTTGGATAAAGATCCAGAGGAAAAGGTACATAGATCTTTGAATATTTCTTTCTCATTGTTCCCATTTATATCTATTTAAATATGATTTAAATGCTTCCTTGTATTGTCATTAAAACATTTTCTGTTTCCTTTAAATATGTTACCATTTTAATTAGCATATATATTCCTTTTAGGTCTGGATTGCCGTTGCTATTATAAAGCAATTATGTAGATCCTCTATGTATTTTTTTTATATCAAACCCTGTGGATTTAAATCTACTTTGACCACTGAGCAGCAGTAACCGAGGGGTAAATTTAAGAAACAAAGCCAAAATTGCTAAGGAAGAAAGAAGAATTTTTTTGTTCTTTGCTTTTTTGGAGCGATGAAGATTTTATTGATCTGTGAGTAATGCATAACTCATAGTAGATCAGGAAGTGCTTGCTTTGGAATGGAAACCTTGTATGTCTAAAACCATTCCTTTATTGTACATTTTGTTAGCTCGTCTGTCTGCTATATTAACCAATATGATGTGTTGAACTAGATCTGCTATTTTCACAACTTTTATGAGTCACTTTTGTATGAAGTAGGGCATTAATTCATAAAGAAGTTGTCAGTCTGATAAAGAATCTGGTTGTTATTCCAAATTGTAAAGGTTAACTCTTTTTACAACATAAAACTAGACTAAAACCTCTTTTAGTTGACTAAAACCAACTAGAACTATCACATATAATGATTAAAATGAGATAATAATAGTTTTTGTCCTGAAGACTAAGACTAAATCTAAGATGTTGTCAGAAGCAACACTGCCTCTAAGTATTAAAAAAGAGATCTGACTCTCCTGCCAAATCTACCCCTGTGTAGACATTCCAGTGTCATCATGTTTCCTTATCTGAATTGTTAACATGGGATTTTCTAAGGAAGCAGCTAACAACCGTTTATTGCAAATCAAATTCTGCACAATGAACCAGAGATTTCTTTGTTTAGTTTAGGAATTAAACTAGATGTTTGACTCATTATCTTTACTTTTAACCCCTAAGACATACATGCTTTAAATCCCAGCAGGTTTAAAGTAGCCGTTTAGCTTTACCAACAAATTTCTGTTGTCTCAGAGAAAAAATATGTGCATTGGCTTAGATCAGGGGTTTTCAAAGTGGGTGCCGCGGCACCTAGGGGTACCGCGAGGTCACTACAGGGGTGCCGCAGGATTTTTTCATAGATTGATGAGAGTTTTTTAATGAATGTACATTTTAACATTTTAACAATTTTGTAAATTTATTTCGATGTAAGCAAATATTTTAAGACGAGGGGCTTCATTTTATGTTTTCTTTACTACCGTACTTTGAAAAAATGACAGAAAAATAATTATTATCAAATAATGTCAAATAATCATTATCAGTTTAGGGGTACCACCGCTGGGTGGAAAAATGTGTAGGGGTACCTTGAGCCAAAAAAGTTTGGGAACCACTGGCTTAGATAAAGTATCCATGTGAATCCGTGGGAGAAGTTAAAGATAAAAGTGAGGGCAAGGAGACCTTCTAATCTCAAGTCCTGTAAACACCAAAGACCAATCTTAAAAATGCTAAAAAAAAAATAAAAATAAATAACTTATCCAGCAATTATAAGATCAGTTTGTCGGCTGTAATACCAACAAATAATAGTTGATTAATGTCTTCAACAGGGGGTCCCCGACCCCTAGGGGGTCCACAGAAGTACTGCATGTGGTTGCGAAAGTTTTGACGTTTTGTTTTTTTATATTCCCCTCTGCAATTTTTTCCACTTTACTTCAGTGTGTTGAATTCATTTTAATGTGGATTTAAACAGATACATGGAGGCAGAAGATGTCTTTCAGTCATCAATGCATACATTCAGCGACATACAGGAGCTCTTTCAAGCTGGGCACCCTTTCATCCACAACACCTGTCCCATCAACTAGGAATACGAGTCAGAAATACTTTAATAATCCCAGGGAGAAATTACTTTCGTTACAGTATTTCATATGTTATAAATAGAGTGACTATAGGACAAGTTTGATATAACACAAGTTCATACAATATATATAATTAGGGGGTTCCCTGCTCCATCTCATTAGTCTCTCATTAGTGTCTCATAAGTTTGGGGGTCCTTGGGCTGGAAATTGTTGAAGACCCCTGACATAAATGATTTGACCAATGAGCCACTTAGACATCAATTCTGCTGCTCCATCACACCGGCAAAAGCATTATTTATCGTTGAATTACTCCTATGATGTTTTCCTTCATGGAAGACAGGCAATATTTTGGATAAATCGTCCAGGAGGCTTCATTGCCAGGGTGATGGAGGAGTCATGATAGCAATGACCTTTAATTCTAAGGTAAGTCCATTGTTTTTGGGAGAAACGCGTCTTGTTTGCTGCAAGTCTATGCGGCAGGTCACCATGCCTGTTGCCATCCGCCAGTATGCTCTGCACTGGTGGCAACTGGTTATTTAGCTAAACACTCTTCAGGAGACAACCCAGAACTTCTTGTACTTCCTTGTAAGCTGTATAGTTCTTTTCACAATAGTTGAAACTCTCTGAATTGTTCTCAATAACGGTAGATTCAAGTGTAATCTAACCACCAGGACTATTTTTATGCCTTAAGCCTTTTGGTTGCTTAGTGATTATAGTGACAGCACACGTTTCTGTGGAGTAGCCATGGGTGAGGAATGATTTGAATCACAAATCCTTCTAAAGTAATCACTCTGCTCTATGAAATCAGCCAGAATGACACCACAATACTATCGGTCCATGTTAAGACGTTCTCTTTAGACTGTTTATGAAGCTCACAGGTCATCTGAGCCAGAGCCAAAAAAATTCAAAGGGGGTTATTGTAGTAAATGGCACATAAACATTCATTATCTTTGGAATCAATGTTTTTCTCGTCTGATGTCTGTATAGAAAACAAGAATAAACTGCAAAAACTAACTTGAAATAAGTCAAAATGTATTAAAGTAAGTTTGTTTACCCTCAATTTGAGTATGTATATAAGATGATTTGCCAATGGAATGAGGATTTTTACCCTTAAAAGAAGGTAATTAGATCATATACACTTGAAATAAGACAATGAAATAGTTTTTTTAACTTATTTTAAAAGTAAATTGTCTTGTTCCATTGGTAAAGTGTCTCAATTACCTCCTTAATTCAAGAAAAAATACACTTATTTAAAAAAGACATCTTTATATTTTAATTTTTCCAGTGTAAAACAATTAACACCATACCAACAGAAGCTGTAATGATTGTTTCAAAGGTCATTGCAGCTTTTGTTGGTATGGTGTTAAGATATGGATCTGACCTCCAGCAGAAAACGTGGACTCTCCGGCATGAAGACGACTCCGATGAGTGCAGCCAATGCAGGGAAGAGACACACAAACATGAACAGTCTCCAGCTGTGCATCTGAAACTGGCTGCCAATGGCGAAGCCCCAGCCTGAAAAAAAAAATATATATATATAGTCGCTTAACTTTTCACAACAAACTCTAGTATTTTCTTGATTCATGTTAGCAGAAAGTAAATGCTGGTTTTGCCATAGGACTGAAGGTTGTGCAATGACAGTAAAACACCAGGTGGTCAAACATGTAGCTAACTCCCTAGAAGAAGCCTCAATATTTCCAGTCGGCCATTTTAAACTGCAGGAGATCTGAGCAGAATTTACTAAACTTCTGCTGCAGGATGAAAGGGAAAATATGAAGATTGTAAAAGTTTACCAAATAATAGCCCTACAATTTTCCACATTACTACGACGGAGAATTAGGGCCATGTTTGAGTTTTTTAAATTCTATTTCGAGAATAAAGTCGTAAAATTAGAAGAATAAAGTCGTAACATTACAATAATAAAGTCGTAACATTACGAGAATAAATTCATAACATTACAAGAATAAAGTCATAACATTACGACAATAAAGTCGTAACATTACGGGAATAAAGTTGTAACATTACAAAAGTAAAGTCATAACATAATGACAATAAAGTTGTAACATTATGACAATAAAGTCATAACATTACAAGAATAAAGTCGTAACATTAAAAGAATAAAATCGCAACATTACGAGAATAAAATCGTAACCTTATGACAATAAGTCGTAACATTATGAGAATAAAATCGTAACATTATGAGAATAAAGCCATAACATTACAAAAATAGTCATAACATTACGACAATAAAGTCGTAACATTACGAGAATAAAGTTGTAACATTACAAAAGTAAAGTCATAACATAGTGACAATAAAGTTGTAACATTATGACAATAAAGTCGTAACATTACAGGAATAAAGTCGTAACATTAAAAGAATAAAGTCGTAACATGACCAGAATAAAGTCGTAACATTACGACAATAAAGTCGTAACATTATAAGAATAAAGTCATAACATGACCAGAATAAAGGCGTAACATTATGAGAATAAAGTCGTAACAAAATGACAATAAAGTCATAACTTTACGACAATAAAGTCGTAACATTACGAGAATAAAGTTGTAACATTACGAGAATAAAGTTGTAATATTACCAGAATTAATTCATTATACAACAACCCGTTTCAGAAAGGAAGCTTCGAGCTCCGACCAGCAGATGACGGCCGACCTGCTCCACCAATCAGCATCCTGAGTCCACTTTGACATTCTGCCCCCTTTGATGCTGTTGCACTAAAAGATTTCCTTATTCGTCTACCCAGAGCCAAAGTATAATTTCACACGATGCTTAGCATTACTCATTTTAGGGAAAAAAGTGCTTCTTGTAAGAGTTGTCATAAAATACAACTTGTTGCTCCTAATTTTAGGACTTTAATCTCATAATTGTACATTATTCTCGTATTGTTACGACTTTATTCAAGTAATTTTATGACTATTCTTGTTGTGACTTTATTCTCGTAATTTAAGGACATTATTCTCGAAATAGAAGAAAAAACATCTTTAGCCTGGCCCTAATACTCAGTGGTACATTACTGACTTGAGTTCACAGTAGAGAAATTTAAGATGGCGCCAACCTTTTAGCTGTAAAATTGTTAGCCCAAGCTAATGCTAGCTATGTTCAGCACTGAATCTCTGCCTAAACCTTTGGTACAAAGTGAAATATTAACAGAAGTCATATAATTATTCTGGTTTTCTTGCTGTTTTGTTTTGATATTATTATTATTCGGTTTAGCTGCGTTAAGTTATTACATTTAAGTTATAATGTTGATAATTATATTAATTCAAACACATAGGCAAAGCATCTTTACAAACATTTAAAAGAGAGTATTAACAATCAGTCAAACCAAGACAAAAATCAAGATATCTTTACAATAAGCCAAGGATAGGAAGCTACATGTATAAAAGGGGAGGGAGGAAGTTTAACTTATTTAATCCCACCAATAGTTAAGTATATACTTTTATTTAATGTTCTGTTATTTGTTCTTCATAATTGTTATAATATAGAGAGTAAAAATTAAATATTAAAAGGAAGCTATAAAGTCAGTTATCTCCTGTACAGTTCCTTTACAGTCAGGCTTGGATGTAAAAGGACAAGAAAATAGAGCAAGGAACACATATTATCCATCTCTTGCCTAGCTTCTCTTCTTTCCACCTATTCTTATCAGACATTATTCATAAAAATATTTTCTCAGAAAACTCTCTATATGAGTCCTATCTTCCTGGTTCAAAAATAAGCTCCTGTATTTCCACCATGCAGACTGAGAGCAACATGTGCTATGAGTTCCTTTTTAGTCAAATGTTCTGCTGTGTTTTTAGTTACTCAACAGCTTAATTTGTGTGTCAACATAACGCCAATGTTTATTTCTGGGAGCCTTGACAGTGTTACCATAGTGAGGAATGATTCCCCAGGCAGTGAAGGAGGCGTAGAGGCCGCCCAGCATCCAGAACATGCAGAGCCAGCTCAGATGTTCTCCACGTTTATCCATCTGCAGGAACTCAGTGAAGTACGTGTAAACGATGGGGATGGATCCACCAATTCTGAGCAGGAAAGACATGTTATTCATCAAACAATGACATCAGCTTACATATTGACAGTTTATGTGTGAGACGTGTCTGTAATGCTATACTTTAATCCACTGTTGGCTCATAAACATTGGTTTGGAAATTTAAATAGGTGAAAAGAGGAATGAAATAATACATTATAATTTTAGCCTTTTCAGCACCAACTAATAAGATGCTTTGAGAAAACAGAACAAACAAAAATAAAGATACACTTATTCAGGATTTGGGGGGGTGGGGGTGGATGGTAGTATAGCTCAGGGCTTCATCCAAGACAGAAACAGAGCTTAACAGCAGAGCTGCACATTTAGTTACAAGCTCAGCCAACAGGCATGTCCAGGGGAGAGAGAGGGTTAACCACTGAAGAACAAGACAGAGTGCATCGACTAAAGAAGGAGAAATTAAGGTATAACAGCTAAACAGGAAGCGATTTAGATCAATAATAAACTTCAAGTTCTGTATATTTTGATAACTACTTAAACCAGGTACATGGATTGGAACTGTTGCAAATTGGATATAAAGCACATACACTGGAAAAGGATGTAGAAATAGGTATAAATGTCTTAAATTAAGTGCGTTTACCCTTAATGTGAGTAGTTAAATGAGATAGTTTGAGATAGAATAAGATAATTACACATTATGCAGTTGAAATCTGACAATGCAATTGTTTTTTTCTTATTTCAAATGTAAATTGTCTTTTTCCATTGACAAAGCACTCTCACTTTCCTCCTTAATTCAACAAAAATGCACTCATTAAAAAAAAAATGACTTATTTAGTTTTTTTTTGTTTTTGCGATGTATATCACTCCTCTTCTGCAGAGTACTAAACAAATTATACTCAGATAAGAGAAGCACCTCTTCATAACATCCATCCATCCATCCATTTTCCTTCACGCTTATCTCCAGCTGTCTACGGGCAAGAGGTGGGGTTCACCCTGAACAGGTCACCAGTCCACCTCAGCGCAACACAGAGACAAACCGGATAAACAACCATTCACACACACACTCACACCTAAGGAGGATTTAGACAAGCCAATTAACCTAACAGTCATGTCACTGTGGGAGGAAGCCAGAGTACCTGGAGAGAACCCACGCATGCTCAGGGAGAACATGCAGAAAGACCCCAGGCCAGGAATTGAACATGGAACCTTCTTACCTCAAGGCAGCAACCCGACTGCTCCACTAAGCCACTAAACCTCACTTCATGATATTTTTATTAAAAAAAAAAGAAAGTAAAAAGTAGCTGTGAGAGCCAATTGGAGGCAAATTCATTGATATTTGTAAAAGGTTAAACTCCAAAATGTATAACTTTTTGTTAAAATTTAAGTTTACAAACACGGTAACATTAAAAGCATAGAAGATAGAAATGCAAATTTGTAATGCATAGTTTTGAGCTTCCATATGTTTTTATTTTTTTTTTATTTTGTACGTACGTAAGAACAGAGGGGAAACGGATATGCTGGAAGCAACACTGTTTACCCTGTTGATGTTCTTTCATTTTTATTTTATTTGATTAAACATCATAAACTGAAGAACATTATCTGGTTTTGCTCGAGTTTTAATACTTGTTGCTAGACTGATTTCCAAAGTGGTCCAGGAGAAACTAAAAGAGTTTCGTGCCACTACAGTATCTATAGGAAACTAATCAAGTTAGACTAACAATATAAATATTAAAAAGGCATTTAATGTACTGAGTAACTGATCATAACATCTGATTTAATGTTTGGGTTTTTTGTTTAAAAATATCTATATATACACAAAATATACAAACAATGATTTTAAGTGGAAGAAACACTTTTTAAAATCTGTTTCTATCATAAAACAAATGAAACAAACACTTATATAATTCCACCTATATAATTTAGAATAGGTTTGGTACATCTATTAACAATATATAGTATAGCGTTTACTGTATGTTCACTTTACCTCCAGACGATACGGCAGAATTAGGTTATAGAAATGACAATAAATAAATGCAGCTTGAGGACAGTAAAAAAAGTTCAACTTTATAAACTGTAGGTGTGTAGCTCTGGGTGTTTGATCCACTGACAGTAAACCTGTAATGTAGTTTTGCGTCAAGACTAGCAGAAGAATTTCAAAGTATATCCTTTAAATTCAGGAAGCCAGAATAATGATCGTAGAACTGGGGGGATGTGCTCTACTTTCTTAGTTTCAGTGAGGATCAAAGAATTTTTTTCCAGTGTTTTTGATTGTCATTACGCTGCTCCAAGTACAGAGCAACGAAATTCACTGTCACTCTGGATAATCATTATGCGGCACCCGGGGAGCAGTGTCGGGTGAAGGGTTTTTTTTTGCTTAAGGAGAGTGGCAATCCATGGGAGTGGGTTTTGAACTCAGAACCTCAGGACTCTTAATTAAATTTTTCTATTTTTTTCTTATTTTAAGAAAAATATTCTTATTTAGATTTGAATTTTTTGCAGTGCAACTTATGTTGTTGTTTATTAAAACCTGAGTTAGACAGAGCAGGTAGTTGTTGAATAGGAGGAGCCCTAAGTTGGACACTTGAGAAACGCCTCATGTGAGCTTTTGTGGTCTCTGATGTAAAGTTGCCTCCTAACACATGAAAGGTCCTTGTCCTTCAAATAGGATTTAAACCAGACTCCACCAGAAAGGCAGACCCAATTTTAGAGAAATACTTATTTATTTATTTTTTGTTAACACAATCTTTTTCAACACAATCTCATGCAATAGCCACATCTATTGCATAAGATTGCGTATTTACAGAGAGATGACAGAAACAGCAGGGAATAAGCACTAAAACTGAAATTCAAAAAAACACTGAAGAACTGCCATCCCTTATCTTAATTTGCACAGCAAAGAAATTCTCTGTTGGGATAAATAAACAGAGATCTCCATGGGAGTAGCTTGCAGCTAAAATCTCTTTGAGGCTGTATCAACAGTAGGCGAACATGGTGTGAGCCAGTGTGCTACAGTGAAAGGAGCTTCTGGAAATGACACTCTCAGCAACATAATAAGTTAAAGGGTTGCTTACTGTGATCATCTGTCTGGGTAAAGTCTGACTACTTTAAAGATGACTGTAATTAGTGCAAATATCCACTTGTAGAGGCTAAATGGGGAATAAAACGAACTGTAACTGTGCATGGAAAATATTAATCACAGTTAAAAGAGGCAGAGAAATTGACTCCTCCTTCACACGGTTAAGATGTAAGAAAATTATTATTGAATAATGCTGATCTGCACAAACGTCCAGCATTTAATTGTAGCACACAAATTAGTTTATAAAAAAGCAGGTTATTCAAGTCCCCATAACAAACACCATCACTGTCTACATGTGGAAGGGTCATGTGGGAATTAACCTGTTCCATCATAAACCTGAACATGCTGTGTTTGCCACAATGAGCATGTATCTGTTCTTTGGTGAATTAAGACTAAAAGTTAGCTTTAAAGCATTCCACATTGGTTTGGTATAAAACACTTATCAAGGACCTATCATGCTGTGGGCTAGGTAGAATCTTGCTTAATTGCATGGTGTCATAAAGTCTTTGGAGTATTAAAACATTTGATTTCAACTAGTAAGATCTGCTCTTGTCTCTGACCAGCTGGCTCAGACTGGAAGGAGGTGAGAAGAGGGGTGAGAACAGCAGAGAAGATCATCGGGACTCCTCTTCCCTCCATTAAAGACATTTCATCCCAGCTCTGCGTGTCCCGAGCCCGTAACATCACCAATGACCCTTCACACCCCCACTATGGTCTCTTCTCCCTGTCGCCCTCTGGGAAGAGACTTTGAAGCATCTGATGCAGGTCCAGCAGGTTTAGAAAAAGCTTCTTCCCCACCACCATGAATGTTGAAAAACTCTAAATCATGTCATCATACTTATAACACCAAAACCAAAATAATACACATTTGCGCCATGCATATTAAGGCTCTGAACTTCCACATCAATGCATTTTTTGCACCATGTTTTTTCTCCCACATTTGATCACTGCTGCACTTTATGGAATGGAAATATTCATTTCACTGCTAAGCTGCTGCTCATTCACCTTCTTTTGTACACACAGGGTGTGTAGAAAATGACAATAAAAGTTGTCTAAGTCATGTCTTAGTCTAAAATTAACAGTAGCGTTACCAATAACTGAGCAAGCTTTTGTTAAAACGGTCATCTTTTAAAATGGGACTTTTTTCTCCAACCAAACAAATGCACTTAAATTAGGAGTTCATTTTTTTTTTTTCAGTCTTAGCTCAAGCTACTTTTTATATCTTTTGGCAAATGACATTATACAAGACGCCAAAATGAGCTATATGTTGCTGAAAGAAATTCAAATAAAAATAACAGTCCTTTTTACCCTTACATAATATTTTCCTATTTAAAACCTGTGTGTATTAGCAGATTATTCCTAGTTATTATAGAAGGCCAGTGGAGCTGCGCTGCATAAGCAAACATGTATTAAAGACAAACATCTCACCCAAAGCCGGAGCAGAAGCGTAGGAAGACGAAGAAGCCGTATCCCTGAGCAAAGCACGACAGGAAGGAGAAGACCAGGTCGATGGTCAGGACGTAGATGAGACACTTCCTCCTCCCCATCTTATCACACAGACCACCCCACACCAAAGCACCAACCATCATGGAAACGTAGACCAGCAGACCTGCCAAATACACACAGGCATGTCAATAAGAAACATACAGATATCTCACACCTTCCCCTCAGAGCACCAGGAGCACCAGCAGCAGGTTCAGGAGCTCCACCAGGGGTCTCTCTTCACCCTCATATGAACACAAGTACAGAGGAATCAGCAACCTTCATGCATTTTTTATTTTTTCAGTGTGATGCATCCTCTTTTTATGCGAGGTCAATCCAACACCGGATGTTTCTGTATATTCATTAAGGAGTGAAAACACAGACTGGTGAGCTGTTGGAGACGTCTGCAGAGAACTCGCCCTCAGCGTTGTTCTCCTTTGACAAGTGTTGTTTTAGTTGTCATATTTCCTATGTGCAACATTTTATTGTTTGCTGGAATACAAGGCTTCTTGCGTCATAGTGTTCTTTAATGGCAAACAGGACCAACCTTCAAAGAGCAGCTGGTCCTGCTTGCAATTTCTTCTCCTCTGAAGGAGAGTTAAATGTTTTATTTTTTTCTGTTACATTTCTATCAATTCTCAATACCAGCTTGGGTCAACCACTCCTCCTTAAAGCTTTAGACCAATACTTACTTCCTGTCTGCCCTTGGTTTTTACTACACAGTCCTAATTACTGTGGGCATAAGCAGCTTACCGGCACGTGGAGCCATAGTGTGCATCGTGCACCTTCCCAACAGATTACAAAAGCATCCAAATGCTCCACACAGCACGCCACACACCCCATTCAACAAGACACTGCACAGGACACCAGGAGAGGAAGAGTCAAAGTAATCAGAACACCTATTAACTTTGACAATTTGATGCTTTAGAGAGTGAGTGAAGCTGTGCAAAGTCAGTGCACTGACAGGTTGAAAGGATGGACTACAAAGTGCTGCATAACCTTAAATAAAGTGTCCTTCAGCGTATTGAAACTACTGAATACCTTCAGATTGAAGGAGAATTAGTCTTTTCTTTGCACCATTACAAGTGAAGCATTGTTTCTCAATCTCAAACTTGAAGAAGATCTTGTAACCATGAAAGGATGTAAATCCAACCAAATAAACTTTACAGTTTACAGAACCTTATGAAATAATCTACTTCACTGATGTGTTTCCACTGATGAGCCCAGTTTTTGTCTCATTGTCTGACTAAGTGGCTTAAAGAACTTTTCAGAGTCAAAATTGGCTCAAATCAAGGAATCACTGAGGATCTGGAACAGCAATAATGTCCATTTTTTTCTTCTTTTCAATGAATGTGAAGGTTGTTAAAGTACTGATTGCAAAAAAAAAAAAAAAAAGGACAACGTGGTAACTTTGTGAGACTATATGAATTTTGATTTCCTCTAACTCAGATCTGCTAAACATCAATTGTCTGCTCTTTCTAAAGTACACCAAATGTATCTTGATCTAGACTTTGATAAGGCCTTTGTTATATGTGCATATGCCTAAATCTAAACCTGGGGTCTGCAACCTTCTCAGTACACTCACTTACACACAGCCCACCCGAACGCCCCATTTGGAACCGCATATTAATACCACTGATGCCATTTTTGGCCCCGATACCCAATTCAGTATCGGCCAATACCTATACAGTCTGTTTGAAATTAATGTGTGTGTATATATGAAGAACTGCATACCACTTGGATGTAAAATAATTGCCATCATGGCTTTGTCAAGCTGCTGCCTACCTTTGTGAAGCAGGAAAAAGACTAATACAAAGTGAATCCAGTAGAACTTTTTATTGCCTACCTGGAATGGGGACAATAGTTGAATAAACTTTTGGCTCTCAAAATGGTATCAGTGCCCTATTTGTTGGTAGTCGCAGATACCGATACCACCATTTTAGTGCTGGATCAGGGCCCCGCCCGATACTGGTATTGGTGCAACACTAATTAATACTCAAATCTTTTAAAAGATCTGCTACAGCAGGAGTCACCAACGCGGTGCCCGCGGGCACCAAGGGGCCCTCAAGGACCACATGGGGTGCCCTCAATGCCTTCTGAAAACAGCAACTTAGCAGTGGGCTAAGTTTGAAATTTTATTTTATTCTGTGACTCTTCTTTTTAATCATTTGTAGAGCATTTCATCATAGTAATCATATAGGGCATTTTAGCATTTATAGGGATTTTAAAATTATAATGTTTAAAGGAAATTTAGAAATTAAAAGTTAACAATAAAAATGTGTTTAATTTGGATGAAGTTTAGGTGAACGCTGACCCCTCTTGTTCATAGGTCAGTATTGGTAGCCCTTCCTATGATTCAATAGCCATGAAGTAGCCCTCAGCCTTGAAATGGTTGGTGACCCCTGTGCTACAGAATATTTGTTGGCATTTTCAAACAACATTGTTTATATTTTTAAATAAAGAAACAATTATAAGAAATATTTGATGGGAAAATTATATCAGTGGAAAATTAAGCAAAAACATGTAAATGCTTCCAAATAAAATAAAAAAATAGAAATAAAAAATTATGGATTATTTATGTAACATTCTGGTGTGAAAAGGCCAATGATTTCACACAAATCAGAAAAACAGCTAAAAATAGAACTTATTTTGTCTATAGTTAAGATATAAAGTGATTCTTAAAAGCTTTCAGCCATAGCTATTAAGAGCCCTATTTTAAACCTTCTAACCTAAATATTTAGCTTTGTTAGCTGAGAGGTGAATCTTTGTCTTTTGCTGCCTGGTTTCCCTGCAGGATTGATTGTGTTTTCAAGCTCTGATCAAATTCCTTGTCCTTGCAGAATGAAACTAGCTCGTGAGACCATCCTGATCTCGCGAGCTTTCAACATTTCACTCGCTTATCAGTCTGGAGACTCTCTGTTGAAGAAAATTTGGAGCCGTTCACCAAACGAACGTCCAATCAGCGTTGGCTTTGAGGCGGGTTGAGGTGTGACGCAACGAGAAGCGCGACAGTTCAGTCTAAAGAACATGGCGGCTTCAGCCAATGAAACTAGCGTTAGCGGGGCTATCGAGCAAGTTTTATTGGAATTACAGAGTATTTCTTCACTGAAAGAAGAGCAAAACACTGCTCTGGAGGCTTTTCTCAGAGGAAAAGATGTTTTTGCTCTTCTCCCAACTGGTTTCGGCAAGAGTTTGATCTATCAATTGGCTCCTCTTCGTCGTCGCTCTGTTAGTACGTCATATGATTCGTTGATCTGATTGGTTTATTTGGCCCGTCTATCACCAACATAGGCTAATCAGCTAACCAGTATTTTCGCCCCTTCCCAAAATTACTTCTACGGAAGGTTTCCAGATGGATATGCGGAGCAAATCCATCTGACGGAGTCAGGTTAGAATGAAACATCCCCACAGCATGATGCTGCCACTGACATGTTTTTGGGGTTGTGTGTTGAGGGTTATGTGAAGTTTTTTTTTTTTCTCCAACTTGCACATCATTTTAGATAAAACAAGTTGAAGGTTTTTTTCTGCAATCTCACCAGAGCAACTTTATCTCCTTTTTTGTTGTATCTGTATGTGGGTTGTGGCAACTTATCTAAAAAGGATGCTTGAAGACTGCCTTGTGACAATTCTTTTCTATTTGCCAGAATTGTAGATTGGAAAACTTATAACTAACCCATCAACAACCTTTCCCAGCTGAGGGCCTCCTGCCTGATTGATGCTTTCCTTAACCGACCTGTCAGGTCTGATAGACGACCACGTCACCAGCATGTTTGGAGCTCTATTGTGTTTTTGTTTCTATTTCTGGCTGATGGATTGAACAGTGGTCAGTGAGATGTTCACAGCTTTTTGTGACCTAAAACTGGTGAATGTCTCTACAACCCTCTCACCGACCTGACTGCCATGTCCTTTGGTCCTCATGAAGCTGTTTGTTCACTAGTATTTTCTAACCAACAGAGGACTTTAAATTTGACCTGTTTGTCCTTTTTGTTTTTATTTAGAAAAAACTGGTTAACCTTTGCTTCTGGACTTTGGGGCGGTGGGGGTGGTGGGGGGGGGGTCGGCTGGAGTACCTGGAAGAACCTGTAAATGCAGAAGGAAAACAATCAACTCTGATGCTAGGAGCACAAATTCAGAACCTTCTTGTTGCTCCATTGTTCGAGGTCTCAGTCCTCGATATATCTGCTCTGGGTCTGTTGTTACCAATCTGCATATCTTTCCCCTCTTCCTATCCCATTTCTAGTCTTATAATTTTTCCGACAAAACATAAATATTAGTTAAAATAGTACTAAAGGACCTTCAGTTTTGGTCAATTTTGGCTCCCCCAGTGGAAAACATAGACAATATTTCCCATGAGGGTCATGATCTCTGCACTGATGCCTGGTCTCATTACTCCTTTCACAAACCTGCCTATCTCCGCCCAGTTCTCATTACCCTCTCATCTGATCCACCTGCATTAGTCACTCTATAACCAGTCTTCAGACCAGTCATCAGTGCCAGATTATTTCAAGCCTTTTGTGAGACTTATTCTGTGTTCTGACTACCTGATCCTGACCTTTTCTGCCTCTTGACCTCTGAGCCTGCTTGTTCCCATCTGATCTTTTTGCCTGACCTGTCTTCTGACTCCCTCCTGGTCTCTGACTGTCTGTGTACCGCACCTGGAACATTTTCCTGACCAATGAGTCTGCCTGCCCTGGTCCAGCCTGTCAGCTGCATTTGGTACTGCACCTGGAACTGTGATCCGACTACATCCTGGATTCTCCTTCTGCACCTTTCTGTATCTCTGACCTCCTGGTTCTAACAACAGACCACATCACCTGCATCGGCTTTGGCTTCCCCCTCTGGATCATCCTACTTGGTTCTGCTCCCCTGCCTACCCTTCGACCACCGATACATCAGCGTCTAGGATTCTGTGTGGCCTCCGTGCCTTGTTGGCAGCCAGCCGGCAGGTACCACCCTCTATCTTTGGATTCAGACTGAAATTTAAGACCAGGTTAGTGACTCGCACGTTTGTGATCATTCACCTTCAGATAGAGGTGGTCACTAACCTGCTGTCTCCACCCACAGAGGTTCCTGTCTTAGACGCTAACGAACTTTCATTGATTCTGTTGTCAATAATCAGAGGGTGTTGTGGCCTAGTGGTTAGGGCATCCTGATGTCAAGCCCCACTCCCACAGACTGCCACTACGGGTCTCTGAGCAAGACCCTTAACCCCACACTAATCCCCGGGTGCCACACAATGGCAGCCCACTGCTCCCCAAGGGGATGGGTTAAATGCACAGAGTTCATTTCTTTGCTCTATACTTGTGACAGTGTAATCACAATGAAAGCTGAAAAATAAATAAATAAATAAATAAATAAATAACTGTTCTGAGAAATCTGTTTGTCCACCTTGAATACTGAATTCTTCAGTTCTGAACCTGAAAATGAGGACCAGCGTTTTAAAGACCGGCGATAAAATCCTCATCACCTGGTGCATTTGGATTGAACTACATCTCTGTTTCCAGGGGCAGTGTGAAAGAATAATAGTGTTGAGCATATGAATATAACTGTGCTGAAACACTGTCGTGTGATAATAGTGAAAATAAGAAATGTTAGTCTTAGGTTTTGTTTTTCCCTCTCCCACCTAACCCGACTCCTCAGCGACTGATGTGCTGACGAGTTTAGAGCCTTTAAACAGATCAATATAATGTTATGTTTGATAATTTCACTCTAAACACACATAGAGATCCCAGCAGGAAGGAGCCGCATCGCCTGAATATATAACCTGCACAATTCACAGGAATATATACAGTCTCTCAGGGTAACTAAGCTGCTATCTTTATAACGAAGTGGGGAAAGGGGGAAGTGATCTATGCCATAAAGCAATCTGCACATTTGTAGTTGTTTTGTGTGGCAGGATTACTGCCACCATCCTCAAAGTTGCTAAGTGTCAGTAAAAGCGATACAGACTCCCTCTGGCCATGATGGAGGTGTCATTCGACTAGTTGTAAGTCGACATATAATCATAAAAGTTATCAAAATATTTTATGTACGTTGAAAAGTTACTTAGTGTCGGTTTAACTCCTAAAGGCAGTGGGATGTAATGGATATTATAAAAGGCATCAGAGGCCATCAAACTTTGCCCACCATGCATGTTAGTTAAATACCCCAAAATAAATCACTTTCAAATAGATTTTTGCTTCTTTCATTTTCAAAGCTCTTTTCCTCCTACTAGTCCACTATTTTATCTGCAGTCTTTAGACAGTTGAGAAAATACTGAAGGTAAATACACAAAGCCTCAAGAATGTAATAAAATACCCTGTAAACCATCTTCCATCTCAGACTAGGGGGGAGATTAAACATATTTCTGCTCCCATCTGTCTGGTGTGCAGAGCATGAGCTTGCATCCAGCAGTATCATTCCGTAGATCTACTTCATATTCTCAGCCAGTGATCATAGCTCTCCTCTCGCTCTGTACAAACAGATGCTGTGATTTCATTTTCGCCGGGCTTTCCTCCTGCTCCCCCAGCCTGTCAGAGGCCTGAAGCGTATCTGACAGCTCTGCGACGGGGACGCTGCAGGGCGCCAGCATCTCTGACTGCTGCAACATGCTCTATATTTGACCGGGAACACATGCTGAATACAATCAGCGCCTAGTTCCTCATCAGTCTCTCACTACGCCTCAACCTGGGAGTCCGTTGTTAAGATAAAATGAGTGATGTGCAATCTGTCACATTATGCAGGTTTTGCTAGATAAGGTAACAGCCTTTAATTTGCTGCTAAGCTATATGAAGAGGCAGATGTTTTAATGGTAAAACATGTTGCAAATAAATACCAAGCTTATCATTCAACCAAATACATCCATCTGAGATTTACACTTGAGTTTAAAATAATTCAACCTAAATAATCCAACCTCATTTAAGGTATAGTGGAGGATTATCGTGAATTTAAAAGAAAAGACCCACCCTCTCCACTTTAAAAAAAGAAATGCACAACCCTGTACCCGCTCCCGAGAGGGAACGCCTATTAACCTTGTACAAGAGCGTGCATCAGCCCATTTCTCCTTGTGCACGCTCTGTTTAAAAGTTGCTGTTTGCATCGCTCATACCAGCTTACTTTCCAAAAGAAGATTTGCAATTAAGATGGCCTTACGTAAACAAATCACCAAAATAATTGACAATTAGGAGGACCACTTATTTTGATTATCCACCTGGAAAAATAACATCCTTCACTATACCTTTAAGGTTCATTTACAGACACTTCTAGTTAACTCAGAGAGGTTAACCTGGTTTAACACATTGAACCATTTGACAACAGCAGCCCACCATAGTAATTAGTCTTTAATCCAATCCTCCTCTCCTTAGAAGAGCCGTTTTGGGATATTTGAATCTGATAATATGCAGGCATCTAAAAGCTAAAACTCTACAGGATTTTACTCCCTCACCACATCATTTCCACATTAAGTTTCCTTCTTCTTGAGTAAATAGTCAAACTCTGCATTGATGAATGGGAGCAATGGATGACCCAAAAGGAGCAAGAGAAGACTAGTGGTGCATTTTATGCCTCCATTCTCTGCTTCTTAACATGTGCCTCTTGCTTGATGAAGACTTCTTATCATAGTACAAAGTGGGGCATTCTCAATTTCTTTATTTTTTTACAAGATGGAGCCGCCCAGCTTGCAACCAATTTTATGAGGAAGTGTTGAGAAATCCTCTGCTAGAACCGTAAAACAGTTTTCCCTGCAGGGGTGGTGACATATTGGCTCAGACTATTTTACTTAAACAGTGCTGAAGAAGAAACTTGTATTACATTTTATCTTCAGCTGTGATGTTAAGGGGATTTCAATAAGTTATTTAACAATCCCATCCTCTGAAATGAATACTGATGGTCTGCTGTGGTGGTAAATTTACATAAATGAATAATTTCTAAATCCCAATACAGTAGAGAAAGCAGTTCAACAAGTTATTTTCTCTCTAAAATGACTAAATGTCTTCACTTTGTTGTTAAGGAGCAGCGAGCATAAAGATGGTTGTTCAAACAGCACAGAGACTCCTTTGATGGCTTTTGATTTTCCACCACTTTGCTGCAACTTACCCAAGAGTCCTTTGTCTGCATTAGAAATGCACATATCTTTCTCAGCACTGGGCATGACAAAGCCCACCACGAAGCCGTCCACACCGTCAGCCATTAGGGCAAGGCCGAGCACAAAAAACAGCGTCCACTGGAAGCGCCCGTGGCCGCAGTCCTCCATGATGGTCTCATACTGCTCCGGCAGGCTTTCCTCCACCTCCTCCTCCTGCTGTGCAGCCTGACGAGCTTTCCTCTTGGCCTCCAGTCGGGCGGCTCGCCGTGCCTCCTTGATCTCATCGGGATGAGGGATCCCCTGGTATTCCCCCTCATACATCTGATCATCCTCATCAGCCCCCTCTGTGGCATCACTGGCAGCGTCCTCATCCTGTGGGGGGTAGTCAGTTTGGTAAGGATAGCCGTCCTGACCTCCTCCATCTTGGGTGTAGGTGTATTGTCCACCCTCAGTCATCTGCTGGTTCACATTGTTGTGATAGGGGTCATCCATGATTCCTGCCTATACAAGCGGAGCAGGAGGGACTCTGTCTCGTAGCTGTTGTTTGCCGAAGGAGCTCAAGTTGTCAGCTATAATGACATAATCCTCCTGAGGAGCAGTGAGTGCTTTTTGGTCTTCTGGATCTCAGGTGTCGGAAGAAACAGCAGATCTTCTGTTGTTATAAGGTCTCACAGGCTTTGCTGATAGACTGCTACCTTCCTTGATGTGCACAGTGCTGCATGCTGAACCTGGAAAATATGGTAAAATGTCTGTCAAGTCATCTCATAAAGCAGAAATGCAGCAATTCAAAGATATTTATATTATATCTGTCACAGCCGCAGTGTTAGAGGGCATATTTCAAGAAATGTTCTCCAAAGTAATAGAGGAAAAATCTTACTTTTCTGTTATCTTTGACTATTTATTTATTCTTCAAAACTGGTTCTTTAGTCTAATTTACATCCTTTCTTTGTAATGTAAAAATTATTTCCCCACCCCAGCACAAGCTCCTGTTATCAGTCTAGGTGAATAGAAAGTTTGTTTTTGGCAGAATGGAGACAGGCTGAGGAAAGCCAGTTTCCCCAGTGGGCAGTTTGTCCTTCTGGACAAGCAGATAATCTCTTCTTCTGCGCTTAAATGTTCTAACTCCATTTTGATCCATCATTCAACCAGGCTGTGACAATGATGCTTTCAGATCGGTCCAGAACCCAGAAGAAGTTGTCTTTAAATACAAAGTATGCTGAATATGCCCAGTTTTGCTTATACCTGCAATGTGATGACTTATACAGTGAGGATAGGCACACATTAATAGAATACATCAGTGGCCATTAACTTCCTTGCACTAGTCATTGGCCCTCTGGATGGGGCAGTGTGCATAAATGAATGTAGTTCATCACATGGTTATTGAAAGGCCACATCATTACAGACACTGGCCTCCATCTGTTCCAACTCTCCATTTAGCCTCTCAAATCCTAATTTTCAAAATTCCAATACTTTATATTAATGCTTTTTAATGACTCAGAAAGAAACCCAAAAGTTTCTTTTGACAGAACATCTTGGTTGACTGTGAAGGCAAAACAATCAGTACATTTTGTCAGTACTTGATGGAAGTGTCCTCTCTGAGCAAGTCTGCTTGAATCACGTCTGAAATAAAAAAAATGATTAATATTCATGATTTAATTGGTTCATCTCATTATAACAAAACTCTCCATTTTCAACATGTCCTGTTAGCATCCAGGGTACATTGATACTTCTACTAGTTAAAATGTGTTGTTAAGGATGGATGGATGGATGGATGGATGGACAATTGGATGGATCGATGCACGGATAGATGGACGGATGGGTGGATGGCTGGAAGGATGGATGGAAGGATGGATGGAGGGATGGATCGATGCACGAATGGATGGATGGATGGATGGATGGATGGATGGATGGATGGAGGGATGGATCGATGCACGGATGGATGGATGAATGATGGATGAAGGGACGAACGGATGGACGGATGGATGGATGGATGGATGGATGGATGGATGAAGAGATGAACGGATGGATGGATGGATGGATGGATGGATGAAGAGATGAACGGATGGATGGATGGATGGATGGATGGATGGACGGATGGATGGATGGATGGATGGATGGATGAAGGGACGAACCGATGGATGGATGGATGGATGGATGGATGGATGAAGAAATGAACGGATGGATGGATGGATGGATGAAGAGATGAACGGATGGATGGATGGATGGATGGATGAAGAGATGAACGGATGGATGAACGGATGGATGGATGGATGGATGGATGGTGGACGAATGGATGAATGGATTGACGGATGGATGGATTGATGGATGAAAAACTGGATGGACGGATGGGTGAATGGCTGGATGGATGGATGGAAGGATGGATGGATGGATGGAGGGACAAATGGATGGATCGATGCACGGATAGATGGACGGATGGGTGGATGGCTGGAAGGATGGATGGAAGGATGGATGGAGGGATGGATCGATGCACGAATGGATGGATGGATGGATGGATGGATGGAGGGATGGATCGATGCACGGATGGATGGATGAATGATGGATGAAGGGACGAACGGATGGACGGATGGATGGATGGATGGATGGATGAAGAGATAAACGGATGGATGGATGGATGGATGAAGAGATGAAAGGATGGATGGATGGATGGATGGACGGATGGATGAAGGGACGAACTGATGGATGGATGGATGGATGGATGAATAGATGAACGGATGGATGGATGGATGGATGGATGAAGAGATGAACGGATGGATGGATGGATGAAGAGATGAACGGATGGATGGATGGATGGATGGATGATGGACGAATGGATGAATGGATGGACGGATGGATGGATTGATGGATGAAAAACTGGATGGACGGATGGGTGAATGGCTGGATGGATGGATGGAAGGATGGATGGATGGATGGAGGGACAAATGGATGGATCGATGCACGGATAGATGGACGGATGGGTGGATGGCTGGAAGGATGGATGGAAGGATGGATGGAGGGATGGATCGATGCACGAATGGATGGATGGATGGATGGATGGATGGAGGGATGGATCGATGCACGGATGGATGGATGAATGATGGATGAAGGGACGAACGGATGGACGGATGGATGGATGGATGGATGGATGGATGGATGGATGAAGAGATAAACGGATGGATGGATGGATGGATGGATGAAGAGATGAAAGGATGGATGGATGGATGGATGGATGGACGGATGGATGGATGGATGGATGGATGGATGAAGGGACGAACTGATGGATGGGTGGATGGATGGATGGATGGATGGATGAAGAGATGAACGGATGGATGGATGGATGGATGGATGGATGAAGAGATGAACGGATGGATGGATGGATGGATGGATGGACGGATGGATGGATGGATGGATGGATGAAGGGACGAACCGATGGATGGATGGATGGATGGATGGATGAAGAAATGAACGGATGGATGGATGGATGGATGAAGAGATGAACGGATGGATGGATGGATGGATGGATGAAGAGATGAACGGATGGATGAACGGATGGATGGATGGATGGATGGATGGTGGACGAATGGATGAATGGATTGACGGATGGATGGATTGATGGATGAAAAACTGGATGGACGGATGGGTGAATGGCTGGATGGATGGATGGAAGGATGGATGGATGGATGGAGGGACAAATGGATGGATCGATGCACGGATAGATGGACGGATGGGTGGATGGCTGGAAGGATGGATGGAAGGATGGATGGAGGGATGGATCGATGCACGAATGGATGGATGGATGGATGGATGGAGGGATGGATCGATGCACGGATGGATGGATGAATGATGGATGAAGGGACGAACGGATGGACGGATGGATGGATGGATGGATGGATGGATGGATGAAGAGATAAACGGATGGATGGATGGATGGATGGATGGATGGATGAAGAGATGAAAGGATGGATGGATGGATGGATGGACGGATGGATGAAGGGACGAACTGATGGATGGATGGATGGATGGATGAATAGATGAACGGATGGATGGATGGATGGATGGATGAAGAGATGAACGGATGGATGGATGGATGAAGAGATGAACGGATGGATGGATGGATGGATGGATGATGGACGAATGGATGAATGGATGGACGGATGGATGGATTGATGGATGAAAAACTGGATGGACGGATGGGTGAATGGCTGGATGGATGGATGGAAGGATGGATGGATGGATGGAGGGACAAATGGATGGATCGATGCACGGATAGATGGACGGATGGGTGGATGGCTGGAAGGATGGATGGAAGGATGGATGGAGGGATGGATCGATGCACGAATGGATGGATGGATGGATGGATGGAGGGATGGATCGATGCACGGATGGATGGATGAATGATGGATGAAGGGACGAACGGATGGACGGATGGATGGATGGATGGATGGATGGATGGATGAAGAGATAAACGGATGGATGGATGGATGGATGGATGAAGAGATGAAAGGATGGATGGATGGATGGATGGATGGATGGACGGATGGATGGATGGATGGATGGATGGATGGATGGATGAAGGGACGAACTGATGGATGGATGGATGGATGGATGGATGGATGAATAGATGAACGGATGGATGGATGGATGGATGGATGGATGAAGAGATGAACGGATGGATGGATGGATGAAGAGATGAACGGATGGATGGATGGATGATGGACGAATGGATGAATGGATGGACGGATGGATGGATTGATGGATGAAAAACTGGATGGATGGATGGGTGAATGGCTGGATGGATGGATGGAAGGATGGATGGATGGATGGAGGGACAAATGGATGGATGGATGGATGGATGGATGAAGGGAAGAACGGATGGATGGATGAATGGACGAACGGATGGACGGATGGATGGATTGATGGATGGACAACTGGATGGACAGATGGGTGGATGGCTGGATGGATCGATGCACAGATGGATAGATGGATGGATGATGGATGATGGATGATGGATGAAGGGACGAACGGATGGACAGATGGATGGATTGATGGATGGACAACTAGATGGACAGATGGGTGGATGGCTGGATTGATGAATGGATGGAAGGATGGAAGGATGGATGGAGAGATGGATGGGCAAATGGATGGACGGATGGATGGATGGATGGATGGATGGATGGATGGATGGAGGAATAGTGCTCTGTGCCACTAAAAGCTTAATAATACCTAATTGTCTGCTGATAGCTTTCTTACTTGGAATTAAACTTTTGAAACCATATATCCTGGCAGTAGACTGGTCTGTTGGGAATGTATCCTGGAAGAAAGCACTAATAAGTTTATATAAAATAACTAAAAGTATTTTTTTGATATATTGATTTATTAACAGATTAGAAGACCCAAAGGAAGACTATGTGATTTTAAACACATTTTAAAACTCAATAAATATTAATGAATGCTAAAAAACTACAGAAAACAAACTTTTGAAACATTTCTCCAAGAACTGTCTTAATGAAAAACCTAGGATACCCCTACAGGCATTAAAAGAATGGCCATGTCCAGGTTCTACTGAGCTGCTGTGGTGAACGCTGAACAAAAGAGCAGCTGGAAGGATGAACCAGTCATATTACATCAGGAGCAGGTAGATAGAGCTTTGTTACTAGGTGTGTACATAACCAGCATTATCCTGATAAAGTATTTATATGGAGAACCAATATTTAAAAGTCTGCCCTGACAA